TATAGAGCCGTAGTTATAGGCAAAAGTAAAGCAGGCTTTAATGATAAACACCCCAGTTCAAAGAAAAAAATGATACAAAAAAGAAGGCAGTTTCATTACTACCATTTTTTTGATTATAAAGCAGATTTTTGACATTTCTCCAGATGTAAACATTAAGCATAGCTTTGCCACATTGAAATTTTTTGATAGGGGAGATTTTCTTTTAAATATTTGGGAGTAAAATTTACATACAAACAATTGATGTGTTCGATAATCAAATTTTAACTTTTTTCTCAAGCGTTTAAAAGATCCTTTGAATAATATCGATGTGCAGAGATGAAGAAATAAAATAAAATCTAGTATTGAAATATTTATTTATTAAAAATTTACATAACAAAACTCTTTTTTTTTTTTGTTAAATAGTCCGAAGAAGATGTATTTATGATATTTTGTCATTAAAGCATAGTCCGAAACCAGAATTCGAACACAAAACCTCTAAAGATTGAGCAGCATTTTGGCAATGTAAACTGGTCTTTGGTAAAACGTGGGGTGTGTCACCATAGGGAATCCTCTGGATTTATACCTCTATGATCAAACCCATAATTAGCTATGCGTCAGTGGTATGATGGAGCAGATTCTCAATCAAGAGCGTGGGAGGTCTGCTTGCAAAACTTCAAAGAACTACTGCCGTGTGCGGTACGAAAGATTTCCCTACAATATGTGGTTGATGCACTGCTGCACTTACCGTCATTAACTTTTCTCTTGGCAAGTATGCTTCGGTCTTCCAGGCTGAGGTATTTGCAATCCTCAAGGATATGGACTACGTGGTGGAAAATATGAGGAGCGGAATGAGTTTGCGTGACGGCCAAGCTGCACTTAACACACTACTTACTTCCAGACTCTGAGTGCCAGTTCAGTCGGGAGTACCTCCTCCATAACTATAATATTTATCATATCATGAACTTCAATTTTCGTTTTTGCGCATATCGAAGACAAATTTCTTTTTAATTTTGTGAATATATTTTTTTTACAATAAATAAATGATTATTGAGGACTAGGTATGGTAGCACGAAATGTCACAATCTGCATAATTATCAGGTAGTTAATATAGCTCCCGAAAAGTGACAATGAAACTACCTTTTTTTGTATCAAGATTCTAACTTTGTTATAATCAAGTTAAAATTCTTTTAACTTTTGAAAGAGGTTTTAAAATTAAAATTGTGAGAGCGTGTTTTTAAATTTTAAGCTGTAAAAACACGAAGAGGCTCCTGGTATGCGGCGTGCAGCCTGTCGAAATAAAATTCGTGTAAACCAAGACTAGTGGCATTGGATCAAAAACAACAATTGCGTGTATTTTGTTGTCGCTTCTGGTATCGAAAGTGTCAAACACTGTTCTGATTTTTTTTCTTCTAAATCAAAGCGTGCGATGTGAAATACAAAAAATCAAAAATAAAACATTGAAATTGGAAAAATAAAAATTGTTGCAACGTTCTTTCTTTGTAAATTTGTTTGCTTCTCGATGCATTGATCCATCCTTTGCAAGGCCCAGTAATCAAAGGCTTGATAAGCAAAGGCTTAATAAAATTATGACATTTCATTAAATTCATGCTACCTGATCACGAGCAGTAAATTTTTTTTTAAGCAGAAGATTTCATCAGCCCACTCAAAGATGTCGAATATGATGAACTTGAAAATTAATGCATAATACTTAATTAATGCATAATACTTATGCTAATTGCTTATCGGAGGGTGATCTGCGCAAGCCGAATTCAAGTTGGAAATTTTTGATTCGAAATTTGTCGAAGTTAATGGTGATCCGCTAACCACAAAGCCTATTTTTTTGCAAAATCTGATGAGAAATTTTAAAAGTAAATTTTCACGAATTTCATGTGAACAAATATTCCCAAAATTATAAAGCAAAACAAAGATAATTGTTCCCAATTTGGTTTTGTTTTGCATGTTAAGTTATGAGAACAATTTATTCACATGGAATTGGCGATTACAAAAATATTTATTTGGAAAGAGCATTCTTTAGAATTAGAGTTTTAAATCGCAAGGTTGCATTCAAAATAAGAAAATGAAAAAAATAACAACATAATGCTCTCGTGATTTTTATTATAAAATAAAATGAACAATTTCAATGAAGTCTCCTTTAACATTACATATTTTTAATAAAAAAAAGGTGGGAACCACGTAAGTTGAAAAATTACCATGCACTGATAATGATTTTTGATTTGAAATATTATTAAAATGGTATAAATGGAGGAAAGAAAATACTCCGATTTATTGTTTTAATATTATCAAAGTGACAAGGCCGTTGAGAATACTCACAATTTATGAAACTTCAAAAAATTGTATTATCCGTCAAAAGTTGTTTATTGATACTACCTTCTTTTTTGTATAATGGAATTTTTGTGAAAAAAAATTAAAAATATTTCACATTTTCGAGGCCAAATAATTTGAAAAAAAAAAACAAAAAAATCAAATCAACTGCTCTACTATTTCTACCTGTTCAATGTGCCACAACCCACAACACAAGCCAAGAAATTTTCTCGAAAGTTTATTGATTTTTTTTTTTAAGTTGCACAAATGTTGAACCTTGGTTTTATATGGGTTATATTGAGGTATAAACTAAATAAAATAAAATATAATGAACAAGTAATTAAAATTAAATAATACTAAGATAAATGGTCAAACCATGTCAATATGTGAGTGTCGTAAAGTTTTGAGAAGGTGGAAATGATATTAACATGTCAAGTTTTAGTACCAAATACAAAGAAGATGTGTCTTTTATCCATTATTAGGCGTGTTTTTTTACACGTATACGTATCTACGCTTAAAAATTGTATGGAGCTCTGAGCAACAAACTTTATGTGCACTTATGAATAGTTGTCGATAAAATCAAAATTACTTGTTTTGAAATGGAAATTGTCGATAATTGTTCTTTTACACGTTAAGCGTAGATGTACATTAGAGTGGTCCAAAAAAATTAAGTTAGAATTTTAATGCCGGCACCCCCTAGGTTTGTTCTATATCGAAAAAATATACCCCTATTTTTTTATTTTGAAATGCTCAAAGCGAGCAAAGTTTTCCATGTATTTTATATGGAGAAAAAACCATTTTTCGTAGAAATGGTATAAAACTCTTAAAAATCAATATTTTTCAATCGGAAAACTGTGGTTCTCTTCAGGAGACTTCCAGTATTAATATCCAATTATTTATTTAACCATTTTTTATGATTAAAGATTTTTCCATTGCATATTCCAGGGGTTTTTGAGGACCTATAAAATATAGTTACTATGAAAAAATGGTTAAAGAGACAATTGCGTATTATTACTGGGAATCTCCTGAAGATAAGAAGTTTTCCGATCGAAAACTGTTGATTTTCAAGAATTCTACACTATTTCTACGAAAAGTTGTTTTTCCCCCATATAAAATACATGGAAAACTTTGAGCGCTTTGTGCACTCCCTATTTTTATTTTTATTTTTTCAAAATATATATTTATTTTTTTTTATAGTATATTTTCTTCGATATAGAACAATCCGAGGGGGTGCCGGCATTAAAAATCCGACCTTATTTTTTTTTACATACATTTTTGGACCACTTTAATGTACCTGCGGGTAAAAAAAAACAGGGCTATTATAGATTTAAAAATAATTTTTTTGTTAAGAAGTGTACATGAAAATATCTGTTTAATATGAAAGTGAATTATTTGAAAATTGATATTTTATGGGAAAACGCAATCATAGTTTGATCAATTCATACAGTTGGTATTCAAAAAGATAGATAGAAAGACCGATATCTTCACCATTTTTATTAGGAAGCTAAGTTATTTGTTAAACTGAACATATTCCCCTTATCAAAGTTATCAGTTGTATGATACAATTCCCAAAAACGTAAATTTTGAATTACTTATCTATATTATTAAACGTGCACCATATTTATGTTAAATTAAGGACACATTAGGGTGCCCATCGAAAAGTTTTTTTTTGGAATTTTAAGATCCTACCCCCTAATTTTATTAGTTTTTATGAGAAATATTATTGCCTATCTCATGTTTTGATTGGTGGGATGAGAAATAGGCAACAATCCTCAATGGCAACAAAGGGGCGATTCACCAATTTATCGTCGTGGTGACAAATCGGCAACATCATTTTTTCCATGTCAAGAAATAAGTTCTCAAAAATGCCCAAACTTATGAATTTGGCGTCAACAGTATTGTCCAAAAGCATCTAAATTATGTCCAAAGATAGGATTGAGAAAATAGGAAGCCCCATAGCGAGAGAAGGAATTAATTCTGCTTGTAAGTTCCAATTTTGTATACAAAAAATAAATTAAGTGTTAAAAAATATAAAACTATTCCAAATATCGCCTGTAGCAATAATAAAGCTATAAGAAAACGACTCATTCAGTTCTTAAGGCAGATTCATCGTTCTAATTCTGAGCTTTTTCTTCCTTGTGGTTGTTATATTTCTCTCTTTGTGAGAGAAACGCAACACTAAAACTAAAACGATGAATCCGCCTTTACGGTTTACACGTATTTTATTTTGACAGGCTTCACGCCGCACACCACAAGCCCCTTTATGTGATTAATAATAATAGATTGGCGCTTACACATATGTTAGTGTTTGGCCGAGCTTCTCCTCTTGCGCCTTGATGTTGTCACACAAAGCGGAGGGACCTACAGTATTACGCCGACCCCGAACGGCGATTGTATTTTTATGAGAAGCTGTTTTTCATGGCAGAAATACACTCGGAGGTTTGCCATTGCCTGCCGAGGGACGACCGCTGTTAAGAAAAAAACTTTTTTCTATGTTTTTTTTTCGATGTTGCTTTGACCAGGGCTTGAACCCAGGTGTTGTGGAGTGGAAGCGCGCACTGCTTAACACTACACTACAGCGGCCGACAACAGTGATTACAGCTTCTAAAATTAGCTTCTTACAAAAGCGTAGTCTATCAAACGACTCGATTTTCAAAAGTCATTTTAAATAAAACCTTTTTTATGCTTCAAAACTACAGGATGGTGGAAGCCAGTATACCCACTATATCATCACTACATCTGCTCTCAGTAGTCAACCACATACACGCTTCATGCGTCGCGAAGGTGCAAAACGATAATATACTCAAGCGGGATCAAAGCTTGAGTTACTGGTCACAGGTGATATCTATAAACATTAAAATATTAACAATAACTATAATAATTCGTATGATCTTCAAATGAAAATTTAACCTTTAGGTGCATTCCAATTCGAAGCGTTCAACCACAGAGCGTAACTTGCAAGGTCCCGGGGACTCGTTTTTAAGTGATGTCTATGAAGAGAGTATATCTACAAAGACACAAGGGTTGATTGTACTACCAAAGATCAGCATCACAATGTTGCAGTCGTCTATCATTGAAGAGGTCATATCTGTTGCAGCGTTGGATAATGTACAGGTAAATCCATTTTTTTAGCCATCCAATGTTGTAGTAAAATTGTTCTTTTTGCAGGATCTGAATTGCGTTTCTTTACTTACATTTTACATAGAAGGTGTATCGACCAAATTCCATTTAGGTAAAACAACTCGCGCCTCTATGCACAACGTTTATATACAGCAAACTGTGCAGTCGGGCAATAGCCACAAAAAAGGGGGCATAATGAAGGGTACACGGGCTCTCCTAGCCCATTTGTCTTCACAAACGCGTCCGGACAACATACAGGGCGAACCTATACTAATCGAAACGTCCGAAAAGCAATTGGAAGAGTTGGTAATTACACTCGATGTAGGTCGTGCACATGCGCAGTTGCGACGGCTCAAAACAGAGTCGAGTTACGGCCAGGAATCTCCTATCATCGTTACCGCCATACCAGAACATAAAAGTAAAGTACTATTCGAACTGCTCAAAATGTCCGAAAGTATGGGTGGCATTGACGGTATCGGTTATATAATGTTTGAATGCGGTTTGGAGGGCGTGGGCGTAAAAGTTGTTAAACGTTCACATTTTGAAAAATCGGAAAATACTAAAGAAGATCTGGCTGAAATCACAGAAAGTGCAACAGAGGCAGCGGATATTCCGCGTGGAGTAAACATAAGTGATATAATGGGCGGTGTAAGTGCAGATGTTACTGCAACATCGAAAGCAGAGGCTGCGTGGCGCTTGATTACCAAAAAGCCACCAACACCTAAAACGCCAAAAGAGAAATTCCAAACAGCTTTGGAAAGTATAATCGTGCCAGAACGTTCAGAAAGTGTGAGCGAAAACCGCAAATCTACTTCGAAACCACAAACCGATGAAGATCCGGAAAAGGGGGGTAAGAATAGTAACAAGGAATCTTTCGAACAGAAGACACCAAATGTAAAAGAAACAGAGAAAAACTCCTCATGTGTAATTGAATTGAAATCAGTATGGTTCAATTTCGCGGCCCCTCCTTGTGTACCTATTACACGGAAAATCGATTTAACCAGGTGAGCGTGGTTATGCTTAGTATATTTCTTAAAACATCGCAATTTTTATAAACCTTAAGACATTGTATCCGGTAAATTCAGCTCGATATCTTCCATAATAGCCCATCAAATTTAATGAGTGAAATACCATTTTGAAGGCCTGCTTCACCGCTAATGCAAACCTTTTTATAGGGTTTCCACCTGTCTAAAATTTTGGTAAATTAAATATATATGTATCTAAAGTACAATATTCCAACGCGTTTAGTGAATCAGAGGTATTTAAATTCGCTCTTATCCAGGAGTAATAATTTTGAAGACTGTTGCAAACTATCTTAAAATTTAAATCTCGCCTGGGTAAAATATTGTCGTGAACGCCATTTTGACGATTTTGAGTTATAGATGCAGTTATATTTTCGTCGTAGACGATCGTCGTGGGTAAAAGATTGTCGTAAGCGCCATTCTTCGATTGGTGTTATCAGTTTTTAGATAGTTTCCGAGATACTGACTACAACTTTTCCGATAATTTAGTAAAAACTTAGTTGGTGATGCAGTCATATTAAACTAATCAATATCTTAAAAATGGCGTTCTCCATTTTTGGATATCTCCTTTAGTTTCCGAGATATTGAGTAAAAAGTGTCGTTAATTTGGTAGGAAATTTTGATCACATTTTGTCGTATTTCATACAAAGTGGCTGCCAAATTGTGGACAGATGACGCTTACGACAAAATTTGACTAAAGAAAATCCTTCATAAACTCAAAACTAATTAACTATAAACATTAAAAATTAAATAATTTAGTAATTTTGTGAACTAGGAACATTTTCAGAGACTTTGGAGAAAATCTATCTTCGCGTTTTGAAGAAATTGCATTCCAAACTTCAATCGCGATTTCCTACAACCTGCCGAAATTAACATATGACAATCTTTTACCCAGGCGACGATTTTTTTAAAATAAGATCTTTCGGTTGGTGTTATCAGTTTCTCGATATCTCGCATATTCTCCGAGATATTCAGTATGATATTGTCGTATATCCAAGGTGAATAGCGGCTTTTTCCTTTTTTGTTGTATGTGTGTACGGTTTTGCACTTACGACAATTTTCCCATGCGAATTAAAACATTGCAATGCTTGCAAATCCAAGAAATTACGCAAAAATGTAGCGAGCCTGAAAATTTTCCTTTACAGCAGCTTGATAGTGTACATAGCACAATTGGAAAATGTTTGCGGAACGTGGAAATTCCCAGCCAATTGTGTTTAATTCGGCTGATCAAAAACGTGCATTTTCTCACCGCCCAATTACAACTACTGCAAATACACGATTTAGGTTTTAAATGTTTTTCGATAAAATCAGAAAGTTAGATTTTCAAAAAAGTGCAATTCTTCAAGTGTAAGAGTGGCTGACTTCCAAAACGTCAATTGCATTGCATACGTACAAAGTTTAATGTTCCATAACGCCGAACTACAATTGGTTGACAATGTACACTTTTCCAAAACCCTCCGAAAAGTTATCGAAACGCATTGCTAGCGCAATCAGCGCATCAGAAACAAAGTTGATGCTTCGTTTGTTATTGGTTACCATTGGTGTTTTAAAAATGCAAAATTCCGAAATGGTGATTATTGTTTTATTAAATATTCCAAATATGCAATGTATATGGTTGCAATGTTTCGCTACTCTGCATATGCAAAGAGTTTAAATACCGCAGTAGAACAGTATCCAAACATTGTATTGGTACGTTTTGGAAGTCAGCCTCTATTATATATTACAGAAAAGACTACTTTGGGGTTGAAACAAAATTGTCATTAAATGAACTTGATTATATCTTTTTTGATTTGAAGAAATCGAAAGAAAGAAATAAAGGACGGTTTCCCCAAAGATTTGGGAGCACAACCTTCGCTGAATACTCAACCAATACTGTTTTGTATGACTGAGCACCGCATTGACTTTATAATATCGATACTTAAAATAAAGCAGTGCATGAATGATCACCACCGCGAAGCATGCGGTGCTTGCAAACATCGCCACTGCAAGTGAACGATCATTTTAAAAGCACATACTAACATTGACTTCGGCAAACCGGTGTTCAGAATGATCGTGCACGAAACCAGCAACCACTGCATTTGACCGACTGTCGAAAGCATGACATCGCATTTGAACGGTTGTCGAAGGCAAGATACCGCAGTTGATTTGTTGCTGAATTCATAACACCGCATTTGATTTGTGGCTGAAAGTACTGTAACGAAGCCTTTTGCTGCCCTTCTTCTACAACGAAGGGGTATACTCGCCGTGCCCAGGGTTCGTTACAATAAATTTGTAGTTTCGGGGCTCCGGTAAATCGTACTTTGTTAACTTAATCTCTTATTTTCTACAAAGAACATATAACAAAAATCACAATGATCACTTCCGGTAGTTTCGTTTCCAGTGGCTGGGTAACGGCTCCGTGTTCCGTTACCGGCCCGTTATGCCGTGGAGGCGTGACTTCACAATTGCTGGGCAGCGCTCTGCTAACGGCGATGAGTGGCGCTCTGGGTTCGTCGGTAAGTGGCGTTCTGGTGGCGCTGGAGAGTAGCGCTATGATGTCGCTGGCAAGTGGCGCTCTGTTCACGCGGAGTGGCGTTCTAGCACGTCGGCGAGTAGCGCTTTGTTCGCGCCGATGAGTGGCACTCTAGCAACGTCGGTATGTACAGCTCTTTTCGCGCCGATGAGAGCGCTCTGCTAACGTCGGAGAGTAACGCTCGAGTCGCGCTGATGAATAGCGCTCTGTTCGCGCCGATGAGTGGCGACCTAGCAATGTCGGTGAGTAGAGCTCTGTCCACGCCGATGAGTGGCGCTATGGCAACGTCGGAGAGTAGCGCTCGGGTCGCACCGATGAATAGCGCTCTTCTAACGTCGGAGAGTAGCGCCCTGGTCGCGCTGTCGACGTCGTTCTGTTGACGGAGGTGCGATCGCGAGTCGCCCGTACGCGGTTTCACGATAGGCTGTGGTGAGAGCGTGTATAGCCTGTGGCGCTGCCGCTGTGAAAGGTGAAGTCCAGCCCGGCAATCAAGCCGGCGCAGAAGAAATCACCCTTACCAGCAGCTGTTTCAGAAATCAGTTCTTGCCAATAGCCGTCTGTTCATGACCACAGTCTCGTGCTGACTGCCCAGTATTACCGTTGTTCGACTAAAGTGTCAAATTGGCACTTTTTGGAGATCGGTGCCCCCTGACACCGACTTTTTTAAAATAGGCTTATTTTCAAACTTTTCCTAAAAATCGTGCGGCTTTTGGCCCTTTCTTTGATTTAAAATTCTATATACACACTTTGGCAATTCCTTCATAAATTATATTTTTCTTACGTGTTTAAAAATGCTTTTAGTACTTACTTTTCAAAGGCACTTAAAAATTACACCTCTGGCAAGATTTTGACTGATTTCAACTTTTTTATCAACATTTTTTTGTCAAACATTTTCAGAATAAATGTCTAGAAGTAGCATGGATTAATGCACCATTTTTTGTAGCTTACCCCCCTATTATGAATCCATACGATACAGTATAAACGCTTGCATTCTGTTGTGCCGTATTACGAATTAAATTCTAGCGTATGAAATTCGATAGCTACGGTTTATCGTATAGCGTTGAATTTTGGTATTGCCATACGATAGCTATCGTATCAGCTGTTCAATTCCATACGCTTGCAAGCGGTTGTCCATTTTTACACGATACGATACAATTTAACAAAAATAAAATAATGTAAGTATTAAAATGAATAACATGAACAAAATATTGAAATTTTTCAGGCCGAAAATTGCTAGAACAAAACATCGAGTTGAGCGTATTGCTTCTCCGAGGGGTACGGTTTAGGTATTTGTACAATGATTTTGGATTGTTGTGCCAAACTCGTGACCCGAATCTAGAAACTTTAATATAAACATGTAGCCAAAGGATCAAACTTTTAATTTAATACAAAGATTTCGAATTACCGAGCACTAGTTTATTGATAATTCGTACTTCAAGCATTTTTTTTTAACACAATAGAAACCGTAGATTGGGCTAATCTAAGTAACGCCTTATTGCCAACACTCTGTTGGTATGATCCCTGAGCAAGAAATCTCACAGTTATGAAAGCCTTTAATATACTTGGGAGGACGACTTTGTTTACGTGCGCGCAAGTCGATCTCCACTTCTGTTAGAACATACATACATATGTACAGTGACGAGCAAAACTGTAACATGGTGTAACACTTTTTACTTCAGCCATCGCTATCTTTCCAAGTTCTAACGACTTTCATACTTTTGTTGTATATTCTTGTTGGTACATCCTTACTCCCTCTCTCATAACGATTTGAAATCAATACAACAACAATAAAAAACCGGCAGACAAAAATGTAAATTAAGGCAGATGTTACAGTTTTGCACTCACTCTCAGTTTTCCATTTGACAGTTATCTCTTACTTAGTTGGAAGTCAGATGACTTTTTTCTGTATTGTAATTTATTGAAGAAGTGATCACCAGTAAATAATATATTTAATCAGGAACCATAAATGTAAATAATAGATTTACTGCGGAAAGGCGGGACCGCTCAAAAAATTGTCGAATTTGCTACTTGAAAATGTTAAGATTGGGAAAAAAATATGGCCTAAAGTGTTCCCAAGGACAAAGGAAGTCTGTCAAAAAATATTACGGTCCGATATCTTGTGAACTTAGCAGCAAGTACCGATGCAGCCACTATTACAGAAGCGCTTAAGGTTACTTTAACTTTAACGCAAATCAATAGCGGCAGCGAGGCGAAGAATTCCCAAATTGATCGCAAAGGCATCATAAAGAAGAAAAAAGCAAATTTGATCAAAATACATGTGCGAGTGTGGTAGCATTTTGCCGGATCGCACGAAAACCGGACCGTTGCCTATTGGGATATGTTAGGCCTTACAGAATGCAATAAAAAAAACACATGTTTAAGATTTAATTGAAGGTTAGTTGGTCTGACAAGACTAAATTATTAGCTTTCAATCAAATGGCTGGGCGTGGTATTGAAACAAAGACCAAAA